TACTTGGAAGACTGAAGTGGAAGAATCACCTGAGCCCAGTAGGTGGAGGCAGTGGTGGCAGTGAGCGTGCCATTGTACTCCAGCCTAGGCACAGAATAAGACTCCGACTCAAAAAACAAACAAACAAACAAACAAACAAACAAACTTTACTGGGGATAACACATTATTGAGTCCCATTGATGTGCTCAGTGGCTGTTGACAATATATGCTTATTGAAAAATATTGGATATAAAGAAAACTTAATGAACTCCCCTTTTCACATATCTACTGGGGACATTATTGCCCTTTTTGTGACATAGTAACAGAGGCAGTATCCAGTTTCTCATAATAAAAATTTCCTTTTATTTCACTAGGTCACCAAACATAAATAGTGCAAATTTTTAAAAACAATTTTCATGTGGGAAAAAATTCTAATTTTAAAGTAGATGCTGTTAAAACACATGTTTCAAACCCTTTGCCTCTGGCTTATTTTAAAATTCTGACTCCTTGTAAAAATATGTCAGAATGGGCTCCTTTTCTTTTTTTATTAAAGAAAGACAGTCAATTTTCTTCAGAAGAATCCTGCCCTCTTTTTATAAACCTACTTCCAGGACACACTGGGACACACAATGTTTGCTTCCATTTCTGTGATCAGGGAAGACCCTGGACATGAAGCTTGGGCAAACATTGCCCTCTGGCTCTACCGACCAGGTAGGAGGCAGCCTCTGGAACACTAGCTCTTTGTGTTTAATTTGTGCTTAGAGGTGCAGGTGGCTGGTTCCTTTGTTTCAGCAAAGGGTACCGGCCAATATGCTTGAAAAAAGAAACTGCTCAGAATAATGCACTTTCTGCTAAAAATTTATTACATCATGCTAATTAAACTTTTGTACTAAGAGCAGGAATGTACACGTGCCTTTTGGGCTGCTATTACAAGAGTCATAGCCTGCAAGGGCTTATATTAGGTTCCTAAGTAACAGAAAAAGCCTAACAAGTTCCCAGAGTGAAATCTGATCTGCATTCTAACGCTGAATTTGAATGCCTTTGTTTGTTTTAAAACAGAGTTAATGTGTACTTACCTCTAAAGTGCCCGGATTTCAGCCTTTGACCTGAAGTGAAAGTACTTTGAGTAACCAAAAGAAACTTTTCCTTCTTAGCTCACTTAGACTATTTACCATGTGAAACAGTGAGGAGTGATGACCCCAGGCTATAAAAGAGCAACTGGACCTTTAGTCATTTGAGCGTGAAGCTAACCTAAGCTAACAAGCTTTGACCAAGGAAGTTTCTAATCTCAGAGAAGTCTCATCTAGTAGTAAGATAAAAAGGTTATGTTGTCTACTGTGCTATAATTGGTATCAGGGTCTCTTATTTTATTGATTGTACGTAATTCTGTTTTTAAAAAAAATTATTATGTATTTATTTACTTTTATTTTAAAGATTTGGGGTACAATTCAGAATTGGGTACACATTGTACAGGTAGAGTTTTGGGCCTCCCTTTGGTTCCCATTTTGCCTGGTTTGAGATTAGGTACCCTTATTGATGTTGTGGATTGTATGTAATTCTTATGAACTTTGCTGAAACCAAAATTCTGATGATGCAGATTTCATTTTATTATTAATTACCATTCTTTTCATGTATTACTGTGCAAACAAAAATCCCTTAATAAATTGGTACTTTCCGTCTTGTTCACTACAACAATGTCTAGCCCAGAGAAAAGCTGGGAAAGAACTTGTTAAGAGAATAAGTGAAGTAGGGGTGTTTGCCAGATTTGTGGTATGTTGGATATCATAGTTGGTCAGTGGCATTGTTATAATTTCTGGTGACAGCCTGGCAGAGAGTTCCCCACGGGCTCCAGGAATTTTGTTTATGTCAGGAGTTCAGACGTTCTCAGAACTTTAATCCTTTCCTATTCAGGCAGAGCTGCTCAGACTTCAGCATAAATCAGAATCATCCAATTAGTTCTGGGGTGCAGCCCAGCATCTGTACCGTGAACAGCCACCTGACTAAGAAACAGGTGGCCCACAGACCACATTTTTGGGGGATGCTTCTTATTCAGTCTCAAATGTAACCCGTCCAGGCCTGCATTCCTGATCCTCTCTACTGCAAACCTGTTCCTCGTGTAGTCCTCATAATTTCAGAAAACGTTAACCCCACTTTTCTAAGCCCAAATCCTTAGGATTCTTGATTATTCTCTTTCTCTCACTCCCCCTATGTAACCCTTTGGGAAATCCTATTGTCTTTTCCTTTGGAATATATCCAGAATCTCACTTTTTTTTTTCTACCTCCACTGCTGCCACCTTGGTGGAGATGAATCCCTTTCATCTCTACCCTGGACTACCAGGTCCTTGGTAGTCTCTCTGCTTCTACTCTTGTCCCCTCTTCAATCTGTTCTTAGCACAGTAGCCAGATAGGTCCTGTCACCCATGTGTTCAACATCCTTCCATGGTTTCTCTTCTTACTTCGTGGAAAGGAACAAATCTCGTCAAGGCTTATGGAGGCTTACATGTTCCGGCTCCAGCTGACTGCCCCTTCTCCTACTGTCTTTTTACTTCTGGTTCCCCTCACGGGTCTCCTTTGCCCTTACAGATACGCCCCTGCCTCAGCGCTGTGGATTTGCTGTCCCCTTTGCCTGGAATGCTCCTGAGAGACCTACATGGCTTACTCCCTTCAGGCTCTTCCTCTGAGGGTGCCTCCTTGGTGAGGCCTTTCCTGGGCATACATGAAGTCAGAACCCTCTCCACCCTGTACCCCCGGCATGCTTGACTCCATTTTCTCTTTTACTTTTATTCATCATCCCTTCAGCATTTATCTCACATATTCACTGTAACCCCCTTTTAGGGTATAACCCTAGGAGTAAGGGTTTTGTTTGGCTCATGGCAGACTGTGAGGGGTCCAGAAGAGTACTTGTTCACAGTGAGCAGTCAATGAGGATCTGAGGAATGAAGTGATGTACCCTTTATCTTTCACTTTCCATCTTCTTCTCATCCCTTCTATTTAATCTGAGGAATGAATTGATGTACCCTTTATCTTTCACTTTCCATCTTCTTCTCATCCCTTCTATTTAATCTGAGGAATGACTTGATGTACCCTTTATCTTTCATGTTCCATCTTCTTCTCATTCCTTCTATTTCATCCTTGTCCTCCAGCTGTGGCTTTAATTTCATCTTGGACTATGTCTGTTCCCTTCACTTTCTTACTGCCCAACTCTGCCTCATTTACCTACCTATCCCTCCATCATTTATTGCTTTTTTTTTCTTTTCCCACTTCCTGTAAGAAGCAGATCATGTTTCAGCACCCTTTGTTTTTTTTTACAATTTCATCTTCCCCTCCTCAACCTCTGCTGTAGTTCAGTCTGGTTCAGTTCTCATCTTGGCTCTTATAGTGTTTAAGTCTCTATCAGTCCCAAAGCAACATAAGATACTGTTTGCTGTGTACAAGGGGGACCCCCCCAGAATGGAATTTATATATAAAAATTGTGTATTTAGTCTTACATGTTTAAACTTCAGTCATCTTTGAAGTACTGTCCATTTGATGTAATACACCTATTGAGATGCTTTTTCCATTGCTCAAAACAGTTTTTGAACGAGTCCCTTTTGATGCCTTTTAGTGCTTCTATTGTTTTTTGTTTCACCCCTTCCACATCAGCAAAATATTTCCCTTTGAGGAAGTATTTTGTTTCTCATTTAGAGAAAAAAACAAACAAAAAGTCGCTTGGGGAGAGAGTGGGTGAATAGGAAGAGTGAGGCATGGGAGTCATGTCGCTTTTGGTCAAAAACTGCTGAACACTCAGTGTTTTGTGGGCAGGTGCGCTCGTAAAAAAATTCGCTTGTCACATACAATGCTAGCTGGTACACTGATGCCAATGGGTTCCTAGAACAGTTAACTAGCGGGGGAAGCCTATACTGCCAGGAGTTGCCCTTCAAAAGATAATTATATTGGGGGGGGTTCCCCTCTTGTATGAGAAAACAATTGTGAATGTTGGATATATATTGTACAATGTAATGTCAAGAAGAATCCAGTAAAAATAAAGTGTCATGAGGAGCACGGGAGGGAAAAGTGAGGACAAGACACACTGTACTTGGTCCCTGGACTAATTCTTTAGGCATATAATTTATGAGGAGCCACAGTTCTTTTAGTTAATGCTGCTCTTCAAAATGATTCAAACAATTAAAATAGAAATGTAGCTCAGGGGTGGGGGCATATAACATTAATAAGGACACCTGATCTCAAACCAGGCAAAGTGGGGACCAAAGGAAGTCCTAAACTTTACTTTACAATGTCCACTTGTATACCTAATCCTGAATTGTACATTTCATCTTTAAAATTAAAAAAAAGAATTTTAAAAATACTTCATTTTTAATAGAGATCCAATAAAGGTTTTAAAATGTGTGTGTGTGTGTGTGTGTGTGTGTGTGTGTGTGTGTGTGTGTGTGTGTTGAAATCTTATTCTGTTGCCCAGGCTGGAGTACAGTGGTATACTCACAGCCACCACAGCCTGAACTTGCTGGACTCAGGTGATCCTCCTGCTTCAACCTTCCAAGTAGCTGGAACTACAGGCATGCACTACTACACCTGGCTAATTTTTCAACTTATTGTAGAGAAAAGCTCTTACCATGTTGCCCAGATTGGTCTCAAACCCCTGGGCTCAGACAATCCTCTCACCTTGGCCTCCCAAAGTGCTGGAATTACAGGCTTGAGCCACCGTGTCTGGCCTAAAATTATTTTTATTTAAAAGATTTTGCTGTTTAAATAAAAACCATCTGTTAAAAAAAAAAAAACAACTCCCCCAATGTAGATTTTAATAAAATTAAATCACAGTTAACAAAATATGAGTGACTGCTCCATGAGACGGCCTGGCTTGGCAGTCTTTAGGAATATACTTTTCCAACTTATTATTCAGTGTCTCAACTGATAATTCATACTGTGGACCTTGTTGATCATATATCATGCTTAGAAAGCTTTGCATAGCATATTTCACAAAGGGCTGGAGAACAGGATAACATATAATACAGGTGTGCAGTTACCTGGTTATGAATGTCCTCTCATTGATGAAGATCCAAGCAGGGTATTGGTGGGCCATCATAGCCATCCCTCTCTCCTTTCTGAGATGGTCTGATGATGCCCTAAACATTAGAATAGCATTAATAATTTGTTCCTGTGATACATTCATAAACTAGTGTCTGATTTAAATTCAATGTTTTGTTGTGTCCTAGTGAACAAGGATATTTTGGAGACCTTTACAGTAGTATTTCATGTGTGAGCCAAAAAAAGAATAATGTATGTGCAAATTGAAAAACTACAGAAACAGTGACTTGAGGCAGGGAAGAATCGGGCAATTTGGTATGCTTTTGATGCATTTCTTGCAAGAGAAATATGAATCTGAAGATTTGAATGTTTCTGTGCAATGGATCATATTATTTCTAATGCAACCCAAACTGGCTGAACCCTGTCCTAGTTAGGCGAACACAACTTCAAGTTTCCAGGCAGTTAAAATCAAGCTCTGACTTGACAGGTTGATTAAGTATGATGTAATATCCTTCAAGTCTCCCTCAGGCTCTGGAAACTGTGGTTAGATGTGAATAATCTCCTCCTTTATAAGTTCATATAAATGACAATAGGGTGTGACCAGAGATTTAAAGTAAAATATTTTGCAGAAACTGAATATTCAATTACCACTGCCCCAAGCCTATAGAATTTTCAGGAACATAGCCAGAATAAAAAGGTGGGCTATTGAGAAGTTTAGTTTTCTTAAAAGAAAAAAGGAAAGCTGTTCTCATAAAATCTCTGGTGCATCTTTTTCCTCACAGCACTTTGTTAATCTCACCAGGCATCTTGGAACAGTCTCTGAACTTATGCTTTTATCATCCTGATCATTACATCACTTTTTTGACCACAAACCTCCCTAGGATCTCATTCTTAGTAAACAGAGCCTAAGTCCTTCACCCTGACATTCAGGATTTTTGCAATTCCACCCAGATCTACCTTTCCAAGCTCAAAACTGAATATTTTCCTCAACACAAGACTTTGTAATTGCATGAAATTTCATGCCATCGAGTCTCTTCTCACCAGTTCCCCTCACACCAGAGGGCTCTCATCACTGCAGGTCCAGTCCTCTGCTCTTTTCTAGTCCCCACTCAATTAGGACCTCTTTAAATCTCTCAGTAGGCCTTTTTTTTTTTTTGGAGTTGGGGTCTCATTCTGTCACCAAGGACAAAATGCTGCAGTGGCACAATCACTGCTTACCACAGCTGCGACCTCCGACCTCCTGGGCTCAGGTGATCCTTTCACCTCAGCCTCCCAATTAGCTGGGACTACAGGCATGTGCCACCATGCCTGGCTAATGTTTTTTTATTTTTTATTTTTGTAGAGACAAGATCTCACTATGTTGCCTAGGCTGATCTCTGACTCTTGGGCTTAAACAGTGCTCCTGCCTCAGCCTCTCAAAACTCTGGGATTACAGATGTGAGCCACTGTGCCCAGTCAGCCTATGGCCTTTCCATCTACATTGCTGTGATTTCCTTTTCTGCTTTCTACCTTGTATTGTCAGGATTGATTTTTGCCTTACTTCCTTTCTGATTGCTATTCCCTTGCTCAAGAATGGGGCTTCTCTGGTTGGGAATGCCATCCTCTTTGATAGCACATCATTGGTAGGGTTCTGTCTCACCCAGGATGCATGAAGGACTCACACAAGAAGGCACAGAAGCTTAGCCAACAAAGCAAATGAACACTCTAGGTCAGAGTCTTGTGGGCCTTGATGATGCCCTGGGAATAGAGACACGGCAGGCTCCATGAGCCCAACAAGTCCCAATATTCATAGGAGGATTTGGTCTGGGCTGTTTATAGCTCTAGCTTCCAACTGAGTTTTGCCCTTAGATTTTGTCATTCTAGTATCCCACCAAGAGGGCTAGTGATGTACCCTACTGAGATTTCTTAGTGATGACCCTGAGGCCCAAACACTACTTTCTTCCCCCTGGATCTCTATCATTCACTATTCTTTTAATGTACCCGTCCTTGCACCTCTGCTCCCACGTCCCAATGACCTACACCTGGCCAAATAGTTCATTTTTTTCTTAGCATTTGACAGGATTGATTTTCCCTACTTTTGAAACACTTTCTTCTTGAGGCTTTTGAGACTAATGACGACAGCCAGTGGGAACCAAAGAGAGACCCAAACTTTACTTGTACAGTGATCACTTGAATACCTAATCCCAAATTGTACTCCACGTTTAAAATTAAAAAAATATGATGACAACCTTAGTCTATTTGCCTGTTATCTCAGCATATTATTCTCTTCTGCTGATTCCTCTTTTAAATTATCACTAAATGCTGGCTTGTTTGAGTAATCCATGCTTGGCTGTCCTTGCTTCTCTGTCTATACACTCTTCTGGGTGATCAAATCTATCACCAGCATAGCCTCTCTGCTGAGCACCAGACTCATATCACTACTAGCTTAATCACTACTTAGATATCTAGCAAACATCTCAATATCAGTGGCTAAAACAGAACCACTGCCTTGTCATATGACAATGAATTCCCTCCTCCACAATTATTTCCCACCAACCCATTTAGATACCGATATGGAAGAGGTGAAACAAGAAACTGCAGAAGCACTAAAAGGCACCAAAACTGATGAGTTCAAAAACTGTTCTGAGCAGTGGAAAAAAGCATCTCAATAGGTGTATTGCATCAAATGGAGAGTACTTTGAAGGTGACTGTAGCTTAAACATGTAAGAAGAACAATTTTTAATAAATAAATTCTGTGTTTTTGGGGTCCCTCTTTGTATAGATAAAACATATACAAAATATTTAATATATTCAATTACAGGGAGGTATATTAAAATGTTAACAGTAAAATTAAGAACTATGAGATTACCAGTGATAATTTTTTTAATTTCACATATACTTTTTACATCATATACAAAGAACATGTCTTATGACACACACACACCGAATAAAAGTAGCTATAAAAAAGAACAGAAAGTATCACAATGGAATAGCAAGTGTGTATTTCAATTATAAGCTAAGATTACATTAATGGTTGCATGCATGAAGTTAAAAAAAATATCGTGGCTGAGGTGAGTGAAATGCCTGAGCCTGCGGGTTTGAGACCTGCCTGGGCAACTTGGCGAGACCTCATCTCTACAATAAATCAAAATGAGCCAGGCGTGGTAGCGTGCACCTGTAGTTCCAGCTACTTAGAAGGCTGAGGCGGAAGGATCGCCGGAGCCCAGCAGGTCGAGGCTGCGGTGGCTGGGAGCAGCCACTGCACTCCAGTCTGGGTGACAGAGTGAGACTCCAACTCAAAAAAAAAAATTGTTTCAGCTTGATGAAACAATGGAAAGTTACAAATATGTATTCATCTTCAAAATAAAGCTGTTTTCTCAAAGCTCTAACCTGGAGTCTTGAAGTAGAGAAAGGAAGAACCATACACAGTTACATCACTTTAAGAAAATGAGGGCCAGGTGTGGTGGCTCACGCCTATAATTTCAGCACTTTGGGAGGCCGAGGTGGGTGGATTGTTAGAGTCCAGGAGTTTGAGAGCTGCCTGGGCAACATAGCAAAACCTACTTGAGATGCGGAGTTAGAAGCACTGACTAAACCCAGGAGAACGAGACTGCCATGAGTTGTGATCGTCATGAGCATGATGCTGCACTCTAGCTGGGTGACAGAATGAGACCCCAAATCAAAAAAGAAAAGAAAAGAAAACGAGACAAAGCATCTATAATTCCATCCATTATCCAGTTTTTTTTTAAAGATAAGAGTTAAAAGAAGTATAGTATCTGAGAAACATTTGACTTCATTTTTTTTCCTAGAAAACATGTCTCATTTGCAGAGATGGTAAAAGACAAGAGTTGGAGTATAAAAGATATAACTTTATTAAGTGATCTTAGGAGTTGCTTTAAGATACAAATAAAAAGGTATATTGGAATCCTTAAATATAAGACAGGACTTTACAGCAAAAATGTATTAGAATCCTTGAATGTAAGACAGGACTGAACAGCATATGGATCAAACAAACAGACCTCTATGTGAGCATGCCATTGCCATCAGTTCGAGTGGAAACTAATTTGAAATGCAAAACGTCTAATATTCTATTGCATATGTACATGGTGTTGATGTTGGGTACTTTATTCTGCCCAAGGTGCCCTCAGGGAGGTGAGGAAAGCAGGAGAAGTAGGAGAAGCAAACTAGCACAAAGCCACTAAGGACTTAAGGCATCTTGCCTCCACTGAATCTTAGAGGGAGTTGCCCAGACTCCCAGTGGCAACTTCTGGAATTGCTGCTACGGTGGAGCCCAAGGTTTTACTGCTTCACCTGCATTTCGAAGAGGAAATTCTAAGGTTGACTTCATTAAGATCATGACTCATTTTTCTTGTTTGTACATTGGCTACAAAAGAATCAGCACCCTCCCCTCCTGAGTTCTCTTATGATGTCCTGGATGATGGAAGTTTTTCTTTAACCATTGAAACTACACCCTCATCATGTATAGAGAAGACCCCCCATGCCCAACTCCCAAAAGACGTGTTATTAGTTTGGCACTTGAGATTGTGTTATGAAAATGGTGAAGTCACTATAACTGATGGTTTTGAAAGATGCAGATGAATTTTTGCCACAGAATGACTTTAATGTAAATGGAGAATATTCAGGATTCCTTTCTCAGAGGCTACATTTTCAAGTGGCCTATACTTGAATATTTTTAAAAATCTAAACTTTTAAATGATGCCCATGTATTTCTAGCAACCTTGAATTTCTCACCTACACAGTAATCAGTGAATCTGTACAAGCAAATGGACTGTTAGCATTGGGTTCTAATTAGATTAAAAGTATAGGATGTTTCTTATTTTAGGAAATTAAACAAGCGTTAGATATAATATTTTAAATTCCACGCCAAAAGACATGTTGTACCTAGTTACACTATTTGGAATATAATTGGAAAAGTATTTTTTTTAAGCATTGCTAGTTCTCTTTCTCCCTTTCTGATTAGCCAAAACATTTAATAGCTTATCATAACATATTATACACATTAGAAACAGTAGAAAAACTTAGACCTATACTAAAACAGACTTTAACAAGGAAGACTTACACCCAGCTTTGTGATTAAATAGGTTAATCTCAAATTAA